TTTAAAAAAAATTAAGCGATTATTTTTCATTATAAACTGAAAATTCCAGTCAATAGCTGTATTAGCAATCATAAAAAGTAACGTTTTAACTCTAACTGCCCAATATTTATAATACTTCAGAAAATGAATATTAGATAAGACATGCAATTTGGTTCCATATGGTAAAAATGTAACATAATAGAGCATCTCTGAAATGATATAACCTGGAGAAAATTTGTTAATATGATTAAATTCTACCCTGCATAACATGCTCAGTAGATCACTATAAAAGATAACAGTGGAATATGCTTGATGATTAATTTCTGTACAACAGCTGTAGGCTTGAACCTGTAAAAACTAATTTAAGTATAAATATTAGCATCTCTACAAAGCAGTATCTCTTAAAATGGGTAAAATTAAACAGAGCAAGTACCAACAAGTTTGCAAGTATCAGAAAATCCTTTTTGATCATTTGTTTCATTTATGTTTTAGGCACCTACAAACTATACATGGATATCCAAATGGCAGCAGAACACTCTAATGTAAAGCCAAAACTTATGGGTATTTTTAAGAACCTGTTAACTTTTCCTAATAACCAGCTTGATATAATACAAAAACAATATCACTTTAAAGTATTGCAATGTTTAAGCCATCCTAATTCAATTTATTGTCTAAAATATGCACTGTACGTAGCGATTAATCTCAAGGTGGCTCTAATCACCAAGCTTCAGAGAGTACATAGAGCACAATTCATTGCCTCACTAGCATTTTTTAAATGGCAATGGTCCACCTTCCTTTCTTGGTTAAGAGGGGAAAAGAAAGAAAGGAAAAAGCGTTAAGAGGGACTTCTCTGTGGAAAGATTTGGCCTTGGAGTCAAGGCTTTTAAGATGTGCCAGTGATCCTGGATCGATGCCTTTTTATTTTCTTTCAGGAATAAATCTGAGCAATGGAATGGCTTGCGATTGTCTGGCCAACCAGCCATATCAGATTTATCAGAAAGAATGAAAACTGGCTCAGAGGACTCCTGCAGTGGCTGAGTGGCAGGTTGCTGGGAAAGACACACACAAAAACAATATTCTTAGTTGTGGAAAAGAAAATATATATTAACATGTGTAAACTCAACAAATACTAAGATGCAAAGAAAGAATCTATAGTAACATAAAGGGTGAATGCATCAGACAGATGATAAATAGTACTTCTATTTGAAAACCAAAGGGATGAAACCTCATGAATACTAAATATTCAAATCCACTTTGAGGAGGAAATATAATTTTCCATCAAATAAATGCAAACTCTAAAAATCAGCCAATGCAAACTTACTGTGTTCAGATTAGAATAAAAAATGCATAAATCGTGCACAAAGTTCTTGCTCTGGTAAATATTCTAATGTAATTTCTTAATTAAGACACATTTCTAGTGACTAAATGAAAACATATATATAAAGCAGTAAGTGCCTTGATTTTCAACAAAATTTCACTTTCTATGCATGCATAAAATAAAGGCAGTTGAGTTTAAGAGCGCGCGCGCGCGCGCACACACACACACACACACACACACACACACACACACACACACACAAAAGAATACTGATATAACCAGAGTCATTTAATCACAACAGTACATATACTATTTCCAAGCGATCTGCAGTTATACTAACAGATATTAATTTATTTAAACATATTGTGAAGGAAAAAATAACACCTTCTTCTAAAAAGACTCCTTACATATATAAGAATTTCAAATTAAAAACAGTGTACCCATAGATGTGCTTACAGTAAACACCTGTAAGAAATTAATGCTTTTTTGAAAATATATTTAACACCTTTTTCACCACCTAAGTTTTACTAACATTTTTCTTCTCAAATGAAAAATAGCCCATGATTTTGGAGATATAATGATGTATCTTAAATATGTAAGAAAGCTGTATGTACTTTTAGAGAATGAAAAGCAAGACTGAGTTACCTGCAAAAAAGAAATGGGGACTAAACTTGTTCGTCATTTATCTCCTAAGGTATATAAGAGTACTACCACAATACTACTGTATATTTTCTTCAATACAAAGGTAACAGTGATAATTTTCCATTATACAAGGAAGACATAAATTTTAGAATCATTCCTTTGGTTAGCAAAGGCTTTATAATTGCCATATAAAGGGATTTTGGCTACAATATATCTAGATATATCTAAATAAAATGTATCATTGACAATGAGACAAAGTCCTTCAGAATTTCTCAAAAGCATCTTCTCTAAAGCTGAATTTTCTTCCAAGCAAAAGAAATAAGAAAAAAAAAAAAAAAAAAAAAAACACAGGTCCTCTTCTGTTACAATTATTTTAAGACATATCTAAAAGATCTATACAACAGCATCCCCCGCCCTATATTTTTATTCTGTTCACATAGAGCAGTAAATAAGGTGCATTCCTTCTGCTTCTTAAGAAATTAGCATTTCAAAAATATGCCACTTTCCCCTGAACTCCAAGCGTGTCTAATAATGCGAGAAGCAGATTGTCTTCCCTCGTTTCCTTAATTTGTTTCATCTAAAAGCAATTCACTCAACATCTTGTCGCCCTCTGGCAGCTTAGTTTACTTATCCGCACTTAATTTCTCATTTGGACCAAAACAAACTCCTCCAAACTGCTACTGACTGCTAACCGCGAGAGGGGAGACGCGCAGTATGTATTTACTTGGGAACACACAGCCACGCATACATAGCCACAAACACACGGAGCCTCACTCACACCCCAGACAGTAACTTGCTTTTATAACAGCACTACATCAAAACCAGCTGAACTTACCCTGCCAGGTGCGGCAGGGTTGGGGTGGGGGCGGGAGCGGATGAAAAACGAAGTCTCCTGGGGCATTTACAGTTTCCAATGGATCACCTTAGTATGCGTGTTGCAATTATACCAGGGATGCACCCGAGAGCTTTTCTTTGTGCGGCCCTTTCATCTGGATCACTTTGTGTTTTGAACAAGTGAGGCTCGCCTTTGTGCCCCCAGAATTTCAAGTACAGAGTCACACATGGAACAACAATGGCACGCTAATCCTCGCGCTCTAAATGGGCTCACTTGTGGGTCTGACAATTCGCCCACGGAAACGAGAAGAGACGAGCGAGACGCGAGCTGGTGTCGCCTGAGCCGAGGAAGAGGACAGCTGCAGAACTAATTTGGATTACATTCCTTGCAGAAATTCTGAAAAGGGCTTTTCGGCATAGCTCAACCCATAGCCGCACAGTTAATACAAAATTGCGGCGGACTCGGAGCGGGGTCCCCCAACGGCAGAGGCTGAACCAGACAGCCCCCAGTAGGTCGCCTTGTAGAAATTCCTCTCGGCTAAGCCTGCATGTCGGTCGCCACTGCCTTTGAATGGGTCAATGTGCATAATCAACCCATTGAGGGAAAATATGAAGGGACTCTAAGTGGGGAGGGAGATAAAAAGAGATGTATCTAAGAGGCCGCTTGGAATGTCAAGTCCGTGTTGGTGTGATTCCGGAGGTGGCTGGAGCGCGGGACCTGGTATGCATGAAGAATTTCGGAGTAATTGGGAGGGTGCAACGGACAGCACAAACGCCGCACATGTGCCATTCGAAGGTCATTTTGAAAGGCTCGACGATAGTAACTTGTTTACTGGGCAAAGGAGGAGGCGGCGGCGGCGGCGGGGGCGGAGCGGGAAAACTACAGCCCGCTGTTTTCTTGGAGAGGTCAGGATACCCTCCGGGGGCCTAAAGCTCTCCCTGTCGCCACTCCCGGGGGCTTTATCACCTTAAGCTACCTCCCACGCTCCAGTCATCAGCCCCGGATGGTTTCGGAAATCTCCCTGGCTCTCCAAAAGCCACCCCTTGGCCGCGTCAGACACCGGTCCTCCTCAGACCTCTCCTGTCCCACTTTCATCCCTGGGAAACTCAAGTGTCAGAAACTTTGAGCTCCCTTGCACTGCAGGTGTTGTCATTAGTCCTGCACGCCATGGCGCGCCAGCCCCGTAGCGCTGCCTCTCGGGGTCAATGAGCCCTTTGCCTGCCTGGGTACCTGGGGCTCGAGCTCTCCGGCAAGCAGTGGCCGTGCACCCAGCACCAGCACCGCCGCCGCCGCCGCCGCCGCCGCTCGCGCCTGGGGTGGATCCGGTGACCCGCAGGCTGGGCAGCACCGCGGGGCAGTAAACAGACAAGTTTGAAGGACTCCGGCCAACAGCAAGTTGAACTACAGGAAGAACTCTTCCCGGAGCCAAACACGGCAACCGACGGGAAGGCCGGGCTTCTGGCTCGAGTGTGCCAACCCTTTTTTTTTTCCCCTTTTTTTCTTTTTCTTTTTTCTTTTTTTTTTTTAAGATCAGGCAGGCCAGCAAGCGCCCCTGAAGTCATTGGGACAAGGGCTCCAGGAAGCTGGCCGAGGAGGCCCGGCGCTCCGGGCCCCGGGCCGAGGAGCGCCAGCCAGCTGCACTCCGGCTGCCCGGGCTGGACGCTAGTCGCGTCTGACCTCACAAGGCTCGGGTGACTGGGGCGCAGAGGCCGCCGGCAGCACACACAGGTGCGCAGCCCGACTCTCGGAGCGCCACTCTCCACCGCCCTTCAGGCTGGGTTCGGGAGAGGCCCAGCCAGCACCCTGGGACCCCAGCCCTTCCGCGGCCCCGGCAGAGCGGCTTCTTCCCTCGAGAGCCCAGAGTGGGACCGGAGAGTCTCCTCTGACGGGATTTGCGTCTCCCATGTCCCGAACAACAGGCGCCACCAGAAGGGATCCCGCTTAGGCTCCCACACAAAACGCTCGGGAGAGAAACATAGGGGGTTACGGAGACAAAAAAAAAAGGGGGACAGGGACTCAGATTTTTTACGGTAAACAAAGCTCGCGCACACATACAGGGTAAGTTTCGAGTGGAAAGAGAGGCGACCGAGAGCCCCTGGAAGAGGTCCCGGTCAAGCGGTCGCTCCACGCCTCCCGGGATGGGCGAAGAGGGCAGGGGAGCCACTCGAGGCAGCCCCGCCGGCGGCGGCGGCAGGTTTGGCAACCCGAGCGCCAGAAGGAACCCACCTGACTGAGAAGCGCTGGGCTGGACGGTCCCCGCCACCACGAGAAGGCTCACCCAGACCCAAAGTCCTGTCGCCGGCTTCATTTTTTGGAAGTCTCAGATCCCGTGCTGACAGTTACATGTCCAAATGGCATATCCCCCTTTCGGGCACGCGGAGGAGATCCCACAGCCGGGCGCGCGTGAGGGCGCGAGGGGGGCGGGCGCGGCGCGCGCGGTGTAGCGACTCCCAGGGCGGGCGACCGAGTCCGCGCCGGCAGGTCCAGGTCCGGAGCCCGAGGAGGGGGCGTGTGTGCGCGTGTGGGAGTGTGCACGGTCTGTGCGCGTGGCGCTCCGGGCCGGACTGTGCAGCTATTTCCCCGCGTGAGCCTTCGCTTGCTCGCTCCCTCCTCACTTTCTCTCTCTCTCACTGGTTGGTCAACAATAAAAAAGGAAGGGGGGGAGAAAGGTTTCCAAAAAAAGTTGATTGCAAAGAGGCGGTAGGTTTCCGGCCTCTCCCAGCAGCAGGGCTATGTTGGGCTCCTTCTTCAGTTTCCTTGTACCTTCAGTCCAAATCGGGAGGGGAGCGGGGCGGGGGGAGCTTCTCGCTTCTCCCCAGATCCTGTCCTTTTTCCTGTCAGCGTTCCTCACACTTGTCCGGCGGCTGCAGTAATTAAAGCTCCGAGCGTCATTTCCAAAGCTCCGCGGTCTCCAGCTGCAGCCCCACAGAGAAATTAATAAGACTCCAGAAAAAAAAAAAAAAAAAAAAAAAAAGGTAGGGGGCGGTGGGAATAAAACAACCCTCCCCGCAACCAGGCAGGCTCTGCTCAGCCGCGCAAACCCCGCCCATGCTCTGACCCAAGTAGCCACGCCCTTCCCCCCCCAAAGGGAAATCTTATTGGCTCAGCCACTCCCCAAAATCCTAAGGCCTCCGGAGTTGGGAAAACACCTGTCAGGGAGAGGGAACCGCGTGGTGGGGGCAGGGAAAGCTGGATTTAAAGGGCTCACCCGAAGCCACGCACTGAAGCACTCCTCTTCCAGCCCTGGCAGAGGCCGGAGACAGCTGGCCTGCAGAGTGAACAGACCATCGGAGGGGCGCTTACGGAAAATTTTTGTTTTTTTAAACAAGAAAGTCAGCATTTTTTCCATTGCTCCACAGTTCTCCTCTACAGACAGGACTTTCCCTAGAAATAAAAGGAAACTCAATGTTGCTTTCAGCAAAAACCTTCCTCCTGCAGCACTCTGCCACTCATGGTCCACAATTAGAAAGTACTTTAAAAGTGTGATCAGTAAGTAACTGGTAGCCCCTGCGGATTAGGTAGTTGTGGGAGTATAATCACCAATCACCGCCCTGGCTCCCGCCCCAGTTATGCCATCTCTCCGGTTCTTCCCACATTTCCAAACTGACCAACATTGAGCCAAACTAAAATTTCACAATTATAAACCCATATCCTTTTATTTTTAGATTTTGTGGGTTTTTCACCTTTGGAGTTCATTCTTATTAAGCAGATTCTTGTCCAAAGCCACTGATTTGATCCTAAAAGGCTAGAAATTGTCTCAAGCCTGAGAGAATTTAAGGAGGCCACATCAGAACATTATTAACCTTAAAGGATTCTGTTTATTCTATAGTAGACCTAGCTTTAGGCCTCTTCCTTGTCCTCATTCTGCATTCAGGCTCCCCAATCCTGAGGTCATTGCTAGTTATGAGAGTCTCTGACCTTTTCTGAATCTAAAATATTCTGGGACTGGGTCATATCAATGTACATATCCCTTGCCTTTTACAGCTCTGAAACTGCACCCTGGCAAGGGCCAGTATCTCCTGGGGGTAGTAGGTTATTGAATTGCTATTTGTACAGGCATTCTATGTATGAATTACTTTCCTTTTTTGGTTTTTCTAGAAGCAGCAAATATATAAATAAAAAGTATCAGGGGAGCTTAAAAATCAAACCACCCTGCTTTTCATTACAGACCTTGATCTCTGTTTCCCACTCTCTTATCTATAGCCCCATCCGTCAAGAATTTCCATGGAGCTGGGAACAGATAGTACTACAGATGCCTGAAGCTTTCCCTTTCTTAGACCCACAGCAAATAACAGGCTCCATGAAGACGCCAAACAAGCTGAGCATGCGGTTTTACCAGAATCAGTCTAGGGCAGGGAGGAACCAAGCCTAGAGCAGATGATGGTAACTTGACCAAAATGGTACTGATTGCAGCAGAACTGTGCACACTGCTCTTTGGGATTATCTTTGTTTTGTTTTCTTTCTTTTTATTAACATTCCTCTGTTTTCTCCTCTTTCCTTCAATCTCTTCTCATTTCCCTTTCTTTAAATCCTTTTGAAATTCTCAGGCACCTCTCTCCCATAAAAGCTACGTCTTTTCAAAACTTACTTTCCGTCCCTAGAATGACAATTTAAATGAGAAAACCAAACATCTTGCTTTTGGAAAAGTTTAAGTCTCTGTGTGAAAAAAAAAAAAAAAAAAAAAGCCTGGTTTCTGATGCCAATTATGTTGCACGAAGCGAATAAATAGGCCAGGTGTGGTGACTTATGCTTGTAATTCCAGCATTTTGGGAGAATGAAGTGGGAGGATCCCTTGAGGCAAGGGATCTGGCCTTCTCCAACTTGGACAATGTGGTGAGACCTCATCTCTACCAATTTTTTTTTTAATTAGTTGGGCAGGTGGTGTACATCTATTGTCTTAGCTATTGGGAGGCTGAGGTGGGATAGGATTGCTTGAGCCCAGGAGTTAGTGGTTACAGTGAGCTATTATAATCATGCCACTGCATTTCAACCTGGGAGACAGAGCAAGACCCTATGTCTACAACAAAGTGAAGAAATTAATTGTGTATTTTATCTTAAATTGTGGGGCAGAAACTTAACAGTCTACTTTGGATTTTTCTCTAGTTGTATCAGTTATGATAGTTTTATAGATTTTCTATATTATAAAATATATAATTTTATAGATTTTCTATATTATAAAATATATAATTTTATAGATTTTCTATGTCAATTTTATAGATTTTCTGTGACAGTATATCTCCTATATGCCTGGTTCTCACGCATAGCTTCTAGAATAATTCTTGGCAAAGGAGGATTGTTTTATTAATATTCATTCATTTCAAAAAAAAACTTAGTATATATTTTGTGGCTATTAAACAGCCCATACAAGGTATTCACTTATTAAATTACCCAAAATACCCAGTTTCCTTCTAATTTTGTTTGCTCTGCCTTGATCCTCATTTTACTGGTTCTAACATTGAAACAGCAATTTTAGATATCTGGCCAAAGATGTATATCTGAACAGCAGCCTTTAAAGTGAATTGACATCAAAGCTTTAACCAACAAAAGCATGATATATTTCATGGTGCCTTGTCTACCCAATCAGATTCTAGCTCAGATAATTTGAAATGAATACATGAAGGTAGTACTCTGTATGGTCAAGCCAGAGGATAAGAAAGAAGCCATGAGCTAGAGTCAAGAATCAGTTATTTCTGTGTCTACCCTCATTTGCTTCCCATCTCATCTAAGTCATTACAAGAAACAAACACCAGAATAGGGAAGGAATATTTACTAGCTGATGTAGAAAGGACAGGATACTTGGATTGTTAGAGGCCAAGCTGGATCTATGTATTTCTTTACTTTTCCATATTTCTTGATAATAAATCCCTATTAGAGGACCTAACTAGAATGGGTGGCTGTTAATTGCAACCTGGAAAAAAATTATCTGGGAAACACAACGTGTTACTTAGCAAACCATAGATGAATACCTGGAATCTTCTGCTGAGTGCCCCTTTTCTAGAAACTGCCCTTTCCTAAGTTCTACATGTCTAACTTTGATCTGCTTCCATGCTACAACAACCCCTACTCCCTGGCTCTAAGATAGACAACTTAAAACACCAAGTTAAACCAAGTAAAATGCCTTGGTCCCTGTTAATTGGATGGGACTTCCACTGACTCCTTTATCTAGCATTTCTGTAAATGAAATAAAGAATTTATATACAGTCTTTCACAGGTAGCTTTTAAAATCTAAAACTCCACAGCTAGATTCTGTTTCCTTATGTAGAAATGCCCCGGCAGTGGTGAGAATGAAGCTACTATTTGAAAAAATAAAAAATCTCAGATAGATCTGGAGAATATTCAAGCTGTTCCTGTGGCTTACTTGCTCACTTCCCCTTTTTTCTTAAGCTACTTCAATTTTCATTTTTGTTACCTGAAACCAGAACAGTGTGAAATGGGAATAGAACTTCTCCAACTTAAGAGAAATCATATAGGTCATTATGCCCTTGAGAAAGATATCTTGCTATGGTCCATATTCTTTTGTTTTCCTTCCAGATCTCTCACGCTTTCCTTTGGTTGAAGCTGTAACTCCAATACAGAGATGGCTTTGTCATGTGATGCTCTTTCATATCCCCTTCTCCACTTCATTTCTACCATTATTAATAGAATTCAAGGAAAGTCTTGACACAATGAGTGACAGAATGCTGCTGTTTGGAGAAAGGAACATATTAAACTCAGAATTTAGTGTAAAATTATTATAGATCCCTGACTTTGTCCCAGAGTCTTAATAGTTCACTCCAATCTTCAGCTTGTTTCTAAGACTTCCCTGAAGGTCATATTAGAGCTTGCTACTATAAATATTTTTCCATTGGCCATAAATATAAATTTGGGACAAATGTCAAGTAAGAAAAGAAAACAAGAGTATTACAAATCAATTATCTTCTCAACATTAAAAATATACAATTTTAATTTCATTTTGTGCAATTTCATCTTCCTCCTTATCTTTCTAAGTCATACTGTGATCATGAGCAATTCAATTCATTTCCTTACCTTTAAAGGAAGGCTTGTTACATCCCAAATCTAGTGCTTTATGGGTTTCTGATTTACTCTTCATCTAATAAAAGAATGTCAAAATTCCCGTATACTTTAATTTTCTCTTACATTCCTTCTTTACCTCCACTCATCCCCACACACCTCTTCTGGGCTACCAGATGAACACATCTTAAACTATCATTCTTACCTCAGGCTGCTATATCAAATACCTTTGACTGGGTGGGTTAAACAGTAAACATTTATTTCTTACAATATAGAGGCTGAGAAGTGCAAGATCAAGTTGCTAGCTGATTTGGTTCCCCAGGAGGACCCTCTTCTGGTTTGCAGATGGGATCCTTCTTGCGATCTCTTCACTTGGCAGAGAGAGAGAGAGAGAGATCATCACTCCCCTGTCTCTTCTTTGTATAAGATCAGTAATCTCATTCATGAAAGTTCTACCCTCATGATATAATTGGCCAAAACCCTACATCCAAATACTTTCACATGGAGGATTAAGACTTCAAGATGTGAATTTGGGAACCACAAATATTCAGTTCATAGCACAGCCTCAGTAAAATGTGCAGATAAGCTCATTCCTGTATTACTGGGAAGTGATCAAGACTTGGGCTCTTTACCACTCTTTCAGCCAAGGAGAAACTGGTAAATACAAACCAGGTTCACTATTACGATAATCAAGCAGATGACAGACACAGTGGTGGTAGATTGTGCTCCTTATTAGTAGTTTGTTGACTTAGTACTTGAAATACCACCTTTCCTCTTAATTCTCTGAGTTCTGGAATTCTCTGATATTTTGGTGATATTTAATGTTTCAAGGCCAAAAACAACCACTGACAAATTCAAACATGTTTACACATTAACTTAAAAAATGCTTTTGTTACCTTAGTTAATTTAATATTCAAGGAAGACGTTTCCAAGACTATTTTACTTTTGGTAAGTGTTGTTTTCCTTCTATGTGCATGATTAAGCCTTAATTTTTTAAGTGCTAAGGAGGAGTGGCTGAACATAAATCAATCAAA